ACTGACCGCTGCAACAGTATTGGTCCAAACCAAACGCCTCACAAGCGCTCTTGCAAGCAACAACCCCTCCTCTCTCTTCCTCTCCCTCTCCTTCTCCCATCACCTGAAGCTCCTTTGGACAGTTAATGTTAACATCAGCAACACATCCTGTGGCATTACAAGCTCCAACTAGTCCACCACCTCTCGGGAAAGCAACTATAGGGAGGTTATACCCATCAACGAGACTAACATCGTAGAAATCTTTGTCGCCAGAACTGCGACCGAGCGTAATCTCGAATAGTGACGTCGGAGGAGCAGCACCACTACCGGAACACTCCAGCTTCCCGCCGCAGTCTCCGGTAGTGCATTTTCCTGTACCGTTGGCATCAAAGTTGCATCCGGTTCTGGCCCATATCCGACCTGACCAGCCAACAACCGAGGGAATGCTAACGGACTGTCCCACATCAAGTTTGAATCCTGTGGTGGGTAGTGGAGGGGTGCCAGAGCCTGCAAGAGTACCGGGCCAGATAGTAAAGGGACAGTTATTTGTAAGGACGAACGTGGAGGAATAAGAAACAGAGAACAGTAGAGAAACGTAAATAAGAACAGCCATGGGAATCATTGGTGATCTTCCCATAATGGAAATAAGGTTTAAGATTCCTCAGATATGGATTTGGCTGGGAGGTTCTTGAACCAGGGTTTATAAGTATATACTAAGTCAAATCAAATGTTGAAGCGGTGAGGTTGCTTAAGAAAGGTTCAAGCCGCAAGGCAATGAGTTAAGGTTTAGCATTACTCTTAGGACAGTGGCCTCTCCGACCAGGCAATTCTTTGCCTTGTCCAACTTTTCAATCCATTACATTATATTATTGTAGAGAAATATAATACAAGTAATGAAACCTCTACTAAAAGATGCAAGAGAATCTACACGGCTACACCAACCACAACAAATAAAACAGCTTAATTCATATTCTAGTTCCTTAACAAATGAGTTGATATAATCTTATTGAACAAATATCTAATATTCAAAAAGTAACCAAAATCTAATCTTATTGAACAAAATACCAACAATCAAAATATTAAATGATAAAAGTATACCTATCAAACACGTCTGTATCCTTATTTTTTTTGTTCTTTTACTATGAAACTTAAAATTCATGAATTTTAAGATCTACATATAAAACACACAAATTATTTCGATCTCTAAACAAGATGAAAAGTTAAATACATAGTGGTTGTTATCATCACAAGCTAAGCTAATAGGGAGAAATATTAACATACCGTATCCTATCGTAGCCGTCGAGTCAACATTTTGATACTTTGCCAACTTCTTTGGAACAGAATCTTCCACGATACCAGAAAATCTAGGCTCTTACATCAAACCATCGAATGCCTACGGCTCTACCTTTCTGTAAGGCTTTATAAATAAATAAGATATTCCATTACATTCCACCTCAAAAAGAAAAGAAAAGAACAAGTTGAAGCCACATGTCCTATATTCACTTCTACTGTTCCATCTTTTAAAAGCCACATGGTTACTATATTTAGATCATCATTCTGAGTCTGTGATTACTTACATGATTTAACCATTTAAGTGGGAGTAACATAAGAGCCCAGATTCCATGAACTTCATCAGAAACTCTACATTCTAAAAAGATTTGTACGGTACCTGTACCATAAGAGCACAGATTTAATGAGCACACATATTGGACAAATATCAGAACCCTAGCTACAGTCCTTAACATGGCAGAAGATAAGAAACATGAAAGTTAAGAGCAAAGTAGGTACTCGTACAGCAGCAGAACTCACAAGTATATATCAAATAAAAAAGCGTGACAATTCCATAAATCTCATATCACATGATTACCATGAATAGCTGATAATTCTGAACGCAGTTGGCCAATAACATCATCGCTGGGTAACTGTACCTTCTCACTGCCTTCCTTTCTCTCATAGTTAGGGAGTATCAGCGTATGTTGCCATTGAATGAAACCAAACGTGTTGTTTCCTGCTGAGCCCTAACGCATGTGAACCTGCAAAAGCAAGGTTTTATCTTTAAACAGTTAGGCATACTCCTTTTACTAAAGAAAAAAAACATAAATCAAACATAAAAAAACAAATCAATTGACATAAAAGAAGCACAAGTAAACTCTCCTGAATTGCAAACCTGCACAAACATAAACACACATTCAGGATCCCAAACACTAATCAATCAAGGAAATTAAAGGTAGAAAGTACAACAAAGAAACTGTTAGAACCAGGTATCAAAATCAGAAACCAGAAATATATCCTTTATACTGAAGAACCTATGCTGCATTGGTTAGAAACATGGAAAATAATCCTGTCGCACCACACTTACAGACATCACCAATGGTGTGTTAGGCCCTTCATAGGACGCTAGCCAAAACAATATACATAGCTTCAATAAAAGCCTGCCTAAATAAACATTATGTACAATCAATCACAAACAACTAAATATGAACAAGGGATATCAAACATCACCACCAAGAAGTAGAAGCAAGTAAATTATAAAGTCTCTCCTACATAAGTACTACATAAAGTTCACAGAATATTAAGATAAAAGCTCTGTTTCAGGCAAGGAAGGTGCCTAGACCTCCCCTGCTAGAGCAATAACACCACATAAGTCTCTCTTATCCATAGTTTTCCAAAAGAAAATAGAAAAAAAAAAGGAAAGTTATTCTACGTCTTATTAAAGAGCCTCTCAGGTAGATGATCAACCATTGATGGATCTAACTCAAGTCCATCCCATCTCCAGCAGGGCTGCAGATAGGACTCACAGCAGTGAAAGACCTCTCAAACGGAGAAGCGTGCTCACGACGACGACGCTTAAACGAACAGCTCTCCGAAGGAGGAAGACTCTCACAATCAAGCTTCCTCCTCACACCTCTCACCGCCTGCTCCTCAGCAGGCGAGAGAGGGAAAACCCGCCCGCTCGCTCGGCACAGGGAAGTGTGGTTATCATAGAGGATCCTCTGGTTACAGTTGTTGTCACAGACGTGAGTGAGACCAGTAAGTTTGCAACGGTACATGTTCCCGAAAACAAGCTCGTTCTCACATTTCCAGTCACATTTGTGAGACTCATCGCAATCGCCGCTGCGACCTAGAATCGCAGACAAGTAAATGACATTGGCCGAGCTAGATTTTCCTAATACCTCCATCTTTCTTAATCCACACAATCTTTTGTATACTCTGCAGAATCCGGAAAGTCGAAGAAAACATCAATTTCATACAATCAGATCCATAGGCGGGAACTAGACGCTTTATAGACTGTTTAAACCAATTTTTTTGAAAAAAAATATTCCGTTTATAACCGCTAGTCGCTGCCGCCTAAACCGATTTTTAGACCATTACAATCAAAGACACGTGTAGATAGATCACTGCACATTAAACTAATCAGATGGATAGGCGGCAACTAGACATTTTATAGACACTGTTTGAAGCAATTCTTTTATAAAAAAATTGTTTCGTTTATAATCGATGGATTGATGCGTCTAGACGCCTAAACCGATTTTTAGAACATTGTAATCTGAGACACGTGTAGATAGATCACTGCAGATTAAACTAATCAGATGGATAGGCGGTAAGTAAACGCTTTATAGACCGCTGTTTAAACCAATTCTTTATAGAAAAATCGTTCCGTTTATAACCGATTGATTGATCGTTTAGACGCCGTCTAAACCGATTTTTAGAACATTTGTAATCTGAGACACGTGTAGATAGATCATTGCACATTTAGCTAAATCAATTCCTCTTCTCCACAACCTCTTTTCAAGATCGCGAAATTTGTCATCGTTTGAAATTTGAAATCAACATTCAAATTTGAAATTATTCGCGCAACGTATCTCTAACTACCAGATCCGAATGAAGGATTAAGAAATTTCTCTTAAGAAATTCAAATTTCTCCAGGAAAGCTGATACAAAGAGAAGACGTACCTGGCGAGAGAGAAGACGCGTCAACGAAACCCTAATTTTGACTCTCGATAGCGAAGCGAGGAAGAACGAAGAAGATCGAAGTGAGGGAACAAGAGAGAAGCTAGAGATGAGAATATATTTATAGATTAGACTCTCTCTCTCTCAACGCTGTTTTCTAACGGATATTATTGTTAACTCCGTTAGTTAACGGGTCCCGCCACCTCGTTTTTCCCGTTTTATATTATTGTTTAGTTATTAAACATTATTTAATTCCTTCAATTTATTTTTATTTTTTCGTTAGCCTTATTTCGAAAGAGAAAGAGATCAAGTCACGTGTCCGGGTGATGTTTTAGGCCTATTTTATTGAATTTGGATATTATAGGAACATGTTATAGATATTTTTATTAAACAATAGTATGTTATAGATTTTGCGAAAAATTATTTGTTAAATCTTAGAGAAAAAAAATGAAAACGAAAGAAAAGGAGGAATGGTGAGAAGAGCGTGAAGTTAGTGTGAGAGGGCGATGACTTTGCTTTACCTAACTTCACCCGTCTTCTTTGCTCCTTCACATATTTATTCACTTATCAACTTCTTGGGCCACTTATGTGAACGGTTTATCATTTATCACAAAATGTACATATATAGATGGCATATGGTCTAAATATATCATCAAAGGTGGTTATAATCTCCATAGGCAGCAACACTGATCAGTTAACTTTGTAGAGAAACTGTGTTACTTATAAAGACGTTTCATTTTCTCTAGATAAGTTTTTTTTTTATAGTCGATGAGTATCTTTTTAGTCTTTGGAAAAGAATCCAAAATTTTTTTTTGGAATTTGAATTATAAGATTAGGCCTCTACATTTTATAGTGTGGCAAGTAAAAGTTTTTTATAGATCAAATCCTAAAGAGCTTAGCACTTGCAGTATCTTAGACCATCTCCATCAACAAACTTCACCAGTTTTGATTCTCAATATGTATTTTTGATTATTTTAATTTTTTTGGTTTGACTTTTAAAATAAAAATAAAATAATAGTAATAGCCGAATCAATCGCAGGTGGACTTGGAGCCCGTGAAAAGTGTTGATATAAATTCATAACAAATGGTTTTTTATATTATCCTTTTTGGGAATTTTATGAACTCCCCTCTTGATACTCTAATGGACATACCTTTAGAGCTTTGTAATAAAGCAAAATGTTATGAATCTTGTTTTGAGTTTTTGTAAGTAGGTGTAAATAATCATATAATTATACCCTACACTCATGTTGGCAGTTTTATGAATATAACCACGTGTTAACCTGATCGGACATAAACGGATAAACCCATGTGAAGAGAGGTACGGATGTTTAGTTCGAGACAGATCCAAATAACATAGTTGAAAACAATAGACTAATTAAATTCTTTGAAACAAATAAGTCAACGAAAGGCTAATTAGCAATGGCAATGGTAACATGTCAATTAAATGCTAAACTTAATACAATTTTCTTGGCTTTCAAGCCTCCCAATAGAACTTGGAGGTAGTTTTTTGTGTTTTTTTTTTTTTTTTGGTGGTAGTAGTTGTCGTGGAAAGAACATGCAAGTGACAAATCAACGGCTCAACTCTCTAGCAAGTGGTACCACAATATAAACAAAGATTTCCTTTTTAAAGTCACAGTTATATATAATCAAGATTGCAAAGAAATGATGTTAAACATTTAGTTGAAGCGTTTACTTGAGATGTTTTTTTGTTTGTTTTACTATTGAATAAGGTACTTCCAGTAGACACAAGATAGTGAAGCACAGTTGGAAAATACATTATCGCATCAAGTTATTCAAAAGCTTATAATGCATTATAATTCTTCTAATTTATTTCCTAGCCTAACTATCGAGAGTGTTGACGAGTTACGGCTACACTGCTTGCACTTAAGATTAGGACCACACTGGTACATGCCATGCATGAAGTACTTGTGGAATTTTCAAAAACTTATAATATTGAATGGCGTGAGAAACTTTTAATCACCCCCATTATTAAAATATGTAGATTGTAACTGGAGTTGTTGTTGTACTAATAATAATAAGAAAAAGAAATGGCAACATCGTTCTGGTGGGGAAGCATCGGCGAATATACCTTCCCAAAATCAGCTGTGAAGCAAAGATATCTTAGTGGGCCTTTAGTGAGCCATTCATTTTCGGAAAAGTTTTCCAATGCTCAAAACAAATTTTCGTCATGTTCAATTCACTTTACCGTTTTTGGCACTTTGCAAATGAACTCTGTAACTTAAAATGTTCTATGAGTACTTACTTTCATGAGAACTTTCATTGTGCAAAAGATTGCTTATGCATGCTTTTGGAAATTTGTTTTCAAAAAGTTTAAACGAACCTTTTGCCCGCATGCTTTTGATTTGAGTTGTTAGAAAAATATATTTGCAGTGATAGTTGTTGGAAAATGAAATATATCTATTTTTGCATGATTTTCTTGTTAATTTATTAATAACTCAGTTGGTTTCAAATGGTCAACCTTATAGATTAAAATATTTTTGTAGATCACAATAGTGCATCACTAATTATGGTGATAAAAAGTATCATAAGTTGCATTTTCAATATTTTATTTTCTTGGTTTAAATGCATTTTCCTTAGCATTGAGGGATTCAATATAACTAGCTAACTAGAGGGGAAATACTGAATATATACATATATAAAAAAATGTTAAAATGATATTTATAATCAATTAGGTGATATACGTATATTAGTTAACTAGGTGTTGTGCCCGCATATGCGGGCATAATTTTCTTACGAATATTTATTATTTATTATTTTATTAATTTTAAAATAATATTATAAGTTATTTTTTATAGTTTTAAAAAACCTAAATCAAACATTAAAATATTTTTATATATGAATTTTCATCAAAATCTATATGCTTATTATAGTGTTGAAAAACTTCCACATAATAAAATATTTTGAAAATATATTTATATTTTTTTCTTAATATTTAATTTTAAATTGTTTTATAAACAAATTTTTATTTTTCATAATAAAAAATATTATTTCCAGATAACTGTATAATATTCTCTAAGATATCTTATGTTTTAAATATGCATGAATGTGGATAATTATCCTATTAATCTATAATAAATTAACTAATATAATAACATATAAATTTCTATCACTAACATAAAATTCTCTTTTAACTAATTTATATATAAATATATAAATTTCATTAAAGGTATCAGTAACTTGAACGGTTCCAATTTTTAATATCTAATATTTAATTATATAATTAAAAGTATCTTTATACAAATGTTTTTGTTTGATTAATATTTAATTAAAATTGATTTTTAAATTTTAATTTTTAAATTTATAATAGAATGATATTATTTTCAAAAGCCAAAATCAATTATATATAAAATTAAGATATATAAGCATTATCAAGTTGTTTCAATATTATATTCAGATGATAATAACATATATAAGAATTATCTTATTTTTGATTTTTTTATAAACTTATTATATTAATTATTCTAAGTTATCTAAGATAATAACATACTAATCTAATTTTATTTTTTAAATTTTGTTTTTAATTATAAAATTAGTTATATATAAAATTTTCATTAAGGGTATAATCGATATTAACCACTCCAACTTTTAACGTGAGAGTTCCGTTGCGAAAAATCACTTCTTAAATAATAGTATAGATTTATAAATAAAATAAATGTTTATTTTGGGGACAGTTTTGTTTTGCATTTCATATTCATTTCTTTGGTTAAATGTATTCTGACATATTCTTAGCATTCTGGGATTCAATATAACAACTAACCGACTTGAGGGGGGGGGGGGGATTTTGATTATAAAATCAAGTGTTTTGCTAAAGAATCTTAATCAGTCAACGTGCATTGATTTAATTTAAATAATTTTAAATGTATTGATTTTTGGGATTCAAATGGGGAATGCCAACCCGATGGCAAACCCCGGTCCAAACACAACCGCTAGGGTTCGTAGTTTAGAAGTGGAGGCATGTGTACATATATAAACTAATACACACACACTTTTGTATGTAAAGATTAAAATCTATAAAAGGAGATAGAGTGGCTGAGAATCCGGGAAGCACATAACTAAGTAGTAGACAGAGAGATACGAAAGGGTCCACGTAAGACCCGTGCTCAGCTTTGATTCTCTCAATCTCTTCTGTCTCGATTAACTTTTTTTTTTAATAATCATTTTCTTGTGTGACTTGGATCAATCTCAAAGAATGAAGTGTGAGTATTTG